ATTTCTTCACTTATCTCAGTGCATTTCAAATAAATATCTCAAATCCCAAAATGTTTGCCTAACGATGAATTAAAAATCTTGTCCATCGACTAAAAAGTAGTTCCTGTATCTGTTACTCTACAGAATAAAAAAGGCAAAGTGAAATTATTTCTATCATTTTGCTTTTTCAACCAACGATTTTGCATCAACTACTCAATGCATTTTGAACACATAGCCAGATAGCGCTTAGGAAGGGACGCCATTGCGTGCGGCCGAAAGAGTATGCGCATGGGAGAGACGCAGACGGTAAAAGGTTTAAAAGAAAGTTTGATCACGGAGACGCCGACAGGTCCGCAATGACGCCCATTCTCTGCGTACGATAATTCGCCTGGACTAATTTGAGCTGCTCAAATGTACAAATACTCTTTTACCGTGAAGACATGTGTTGATCATATCCAAATGATCCTAAAATCAAAAGTAGTGATTCAGCGAAAAGAAATCTTCAGCAAAAAATTGGAAAGTTTTTTACTATCGAATTACGTCTTTTTGCGACTTTTCAAACTGAAAAAATACTTTTTGGGTGAAGAAACAATGGTTCGTCTGATTGCACAAAACAATCACTACTTGTTGCCAGAAGTTGCAAGAACCAAGTCTTCCTCTTATATGGCAAATAGGCTTATCTTCAGCTTCAAACTCGTACTCTAAGGCAATAATTTATACGGGAAAGCACTGAATCACATTTTACAAGCAATCACTACAGCAATATCTAGCAGACTCCACAAGTTCGTGGGCATTGAGCCACCATGAGATTTCGGTAGGCCGCATCATTACATAGAGCAACTCTTGAAGGACAATCCGACGTTCCGGTGAGCGGATTGATGGCATCGACGCAAGCTAAACAAATAAACGATTGGAGCATGAACAACAAAAAGCTGACGTTTGAAACTTACTGCCTGGCAGGCGAGTGGTGGAAACTGTAGCACCGCTTACAGTACTTGCACTGGTTACTCCGCTTACAGTACTACCAGTACAGAATCCACAGGTTTTTGGACATTCCACCTAAGAAATTTGGGAAATTTTTAGGTTGTTTTTTGATAGCAAAGGTTTGTCTTCTCACTCTCATAATGGCAATGTAATTAGAATCCTGACAGAGCGATACTCTCATCGGGCAATCGGACACACCCGTTCTAGGGTTCAACTTGTCCGCGCAAGTCCCGGATACCGTGGCTGCATAAGAAAGTCAAATGAAGCTAAACCCGCAGTAATTACAAGGTCTAAACTAACTTGCACTGGTAACGCCTACGCTTGAACATCTGTTACATGTGAGTGGACATTGTTCGGTCATCAAAGCCGTATAAGCTGCATTGTTACATAGATGGGCCAATGCTGGACAGTCGGACACTCCGGTAGCTGGGTTTACCCGATCGACGCAAGCTGAAACTCCTCTATTTCGCGACTGGGAGAAAGTCCACCAATGGGACTCACTGGTGGTGCCACCGGTGACAGAACACCTTCCGCAAGTTCTTGGGCATTGTTCGGCCATTACAGCAGAGTAGGTTGCATCATTGCAAAGACTGGCTCT